ATCGTTTTCCGTCAAACCGTGAACAACCCCTAACTGTGTCAAAACCCCAAAAATTTAAAGGGCTAGATAGGTAAAGAACTAAAACAACAAGTTTTTGGTCGTGCATGTTTGAGAGATTCTAATAAGAGAATAGCTCTCAATTCATGAAACTCCAGAAACTGTCACTCCAGCAACAAGTTATGGTGGAGCGGTAAGTACTCCTTGATTCTTAACCAGAGGTCTCAGGAGTCCCCGGTATGAAGTTACCTTTGTTAGGGAGCACTTTACCCCCAATGTGGGGACTACCTGGTGCGATCGGATACATACAGGCCCCAATGCATTACTAACACCGATTTGGGGAAAAAAATAAGCAATTGGTCCTAGGTAGCACGGGCGTCAATCTTCTTTGTTACACTCTGAAACACCGGGAGATAATCCAGTAGCTTGTAGTTAGAAATGTGTTAATCTTAGTTAAGAGTTGTACTTGAGTAAACAAAACAGAACTTTCAGTTCAGCTACTGATGCTGTGGTATTACACACTAAAGGTCCTTGCTATTCAACTCTGGGCAGCATCCATGTATACTCTAGGTTTGTTTCTACACCATCTTTCTCGTCACACTTCAACTTGGAATTGAGATGTAGCATGAAACAGAGAATATTTTTCAAGTCAAGCACAAGACTCGTGGAACACAAAAATTGATCGATTTTGTCTCTCGTCACAAGTCTTTTAGAAAACAGAAAACATCAAGATAAATGATATGCTCGGGAAGAATGAAACTAATCACTGCCTAATCAAATTTCACATATAATACAATACTGCAAGTTTATCATACTGTCAAAAAGTTTGTGGCACCAAAATCAATTGAGAGCATTTACAGACGGACCCAAAAACAAAACTATCAGCTCTTCAACTTTTTCAAATAAATGTGCAAGAGCCACATTTTGCACATTAAAGCAAAATCAGAACTTTCCCCTCTACGAATCGCTATTATACTCCAAAAAATTTTGTTTCTATATACTGTGTTGAGCTGTCGACTTCGTATACTGCTCAGTAAGGAAGATTTAAGCCATAGCAGCCATGCGAGCGTTTGCAGTCGAAGCCCTCTATTCTATTTGGTGATTGAGTTTGCCCAAGTCTTGCCCTTGAACACCTTCCTTTACAACTTGATGATGGAGAAGATAAAAGCTGAAGTAGATGTACATGGTGATGATAAAAACGGGGTTGCTTTTCATTTGTAAAATGAACATCATGGATTAACGGATTCATAGCCCTGCAAGGCGGCGAACCAGAGAAGAAAGGAGGGGATGATGACAAATCAGATGTGTATTGTGCTGCAGCCACACCATCGCTGTTAGACCATGAAGATCATTTAAAAAATGGCAGTTGAATCAGTGCACATCTATTATCTATATATATATTAAAGGAATAAAGTTTGCATTTGTGTTAAGCCAAGTGGCTAGCTATTAAGAAAGCCACTTGGCAATTTTAGAACAAAGAGATGATTAATTAATGAAATCTATATCTATATATTATTAAAAGGAGAGGAAAAAAAGCCCTCTCCTTAAGCCAAGTGGCAGCCTAAAAAGATGCCACATGGCATAATTGGTTACTAATTAGTTATTTAGTTTATAATTAGTTATTGGTTACTTATTTTTTGAATTTAAATACATATCAAAAAAGAAAATAATACAATACAATAAAAAACTACCATATATATAATTGGTTACTTTATTTGAATTAATAAATATAGATATCTTATAATTAAATATAATAAAAAAAACAAAAATAATATATATAAAATAACTACCCATTCAAATTGGGTGGGAGTAGTTTCAAGTTTGAGTTTTAAATTATTTTAAAATAAAAAACGAAATTAAAAAAATAAAGAATTACCAATTCAAATTGGGGAATAGTTTCATATTGGAGTTTTAAAATTATTTTAAAATAAAAAAAAAATGAAAAATCTATTTATATATAATATACATATAAAAACGAAAATAATAAACTAAAATAAAAAACTAACATATATATATATATATATATATATATATATATATATATGTATGTATATTATATATATATATATATATATATATATATATATATATATGTATATATATATTAATTGGTTACTTTATTTGGATTTAATAAAAAAATGAAAAATCTATTTATATATAATATACATATAAAAACAAATAATAAAAATAAAATAAAAACTAACACACACACACAAACATATATATATATATAATATATATATATACATATATATATATTAATTGGTTACTTTATTTGGATTTAATAAATATAGATATCTTATAATTAAATATAATAAAAAAAACAGCAAAAAATAATATATAAAAATAACTACCCATTCAAATTGGGTGGAATAGTTTCAAATTGAGTTTTTAAATTATTTTAAAAAAAAATCAAAAAAAACTAACCTATAAAAAAAAGAAAAAAGAGAAGAAAAATTGCCCATTCAAATCGAGAAGTAGTTTCAAGTTGGAGTTTTAAAATAATTTTAAAATAAAAAAAAATTATAAAAAATAATGAATTACCAATTCAAATTAGGGAGTAGTTTCAAATTGGAGTTTTAAAATTATTTTAAAATAAAAAAACAAAAAATCTATTTATATATAATATACATATAAAAAACGAAAATAATAAAATAAAATAAAAAACTACCATATATATATAGTAATTGATTACTTTATTTGGATTAATAAGTATAGATATCGTATAATTAAATATGATAAAAAAATAACAAAAAATAAATATATAAAAAATAACTACCCATTAAAATTGGGTGGGAGTAGTTTCAAGTTTAAGTTTTTAAATAATGTTAAAATAAAAAGCAAAAAAAAAAATTTACCAATAAAAAAACGAAAAAAAGAGAAGAAAATCTACCCATTCAAATCGGGAAGTAGTTTCAAGTTGGAGTTTTAAAATCTATATCTATCTATATATTATTAAAAGGAGAGGAAAAAGCCCTCTCCTTAAGCCAAGTGGCAGCCTAAAAAAATGCCACATGGCATAATTGGTAACTAATTAGTTATTTAGTTTATAATTAGTTATTGGTGACAAGTGTCATAATTTCTATTAACAATATAATTATACTAAATATTGGATAATATAATAAATAAAAATACATAACGAAAAAATTATTTGATGACTATATAAGTCCCTTTAATTTAATGGAGATTTTATTTATTAAAATTTAGACAATATCTATTCTATTTATATAGATAAGGATAATCAAATAATTGTGATAATTCTAAATGTAACATCGAAAAATTAACAAAGTGACAAATATTTTTTTAATATTGACCGCGCATCGAGCGGGTACGACTACTAGTTTTGAGATAAAGCAACAAAAGAAACAGCTATGTGTACATGTGTCACACAGACAAATTGACAGTTGAATGTGATCAGGAGAACGGTCAAATTAATATACAGCCCAAATCAGTTAAACCAACACACTAACAAGAGCGTCATACCGCTCCACCGGAGTCAAATTTGCTAAGTGCATTTATCAACATTGCGTTTCCAACATATCATTAAACAACACAGAAAGAACAAATAACCAACAAATTAAAAAAATTCTACGTTCTGCAATTGGCATAAGCTAACTTGAATCTATTGACCTTTCTATTTTTTTCATCTGGCCTACTCAAGAATATGTGGCATGGGATTAAATCGTGGTACGCGCTAGAAGAAAGATCATGCTTTGGGATTGAATTATGCTAGAAAATGCACAAAATCATAATTGTATTTTCATACAACCCCTTTTAGAAATATTTGCTAGGGAACATTTAGTATTCTCATAAGGACCTTTTGATATCAAGATGGTTAAAACAATTATGAAGTAAAATAATGTATGGAATGATGGGGGCAGACCTAGCTGGCTGATAGAATATTGGCATGTATTAAAGTGGGATAAACAGAACAACAGGGGCATTGCAATCATTTACCAATTATCATTCGATTGGAGTTTCAACTACCCTCAACTTTCATTTTGTCTCATGAAAACATCAAAATGAGATTGACAAAATTGAAACATGCTGAGAGTGTAAAAATTGTGTTATGTAGCTTGGAAATCTACACACACTGCCGACAATGAGGATGATTTTCATAATGACAGTATGCGAACCGTCTAAGATAATGCAAAGCCAACTAACTCAAACAATGTGCAAGATTTATCATGTAAACATCCTTCATGCAGGGAATGAAGTTTATGGGTTTGGGATGCCACTGAACCCACTAATCATTAAGTTAGTGGGTTCGAAATTTAATATTTCTACATATTTAGTAGATTTCTTGATACATGTACAGGGTCTGAACGCTAAAGCTACTGGGTTCGGCCGAACTTGTAGCTTTAAATGTACATTGGCTGCCTTTATGTACAGATTGCCACAGATTCTGAAGCTTTGACAAACAAGAAAATGTTGACATCACTACATGCATAAAAGCTACAGCCTTGAGAAGTTAATCCAATTCCTATCGAAACAACATAATTCTACTCAAGCTTCTTAGCCCGAAACTAGTCGCGTATACGGCTACATGAATCCTCTGTGTCCATTCTGTTCTATATCATGTTGAATCTAAAGGTCTGTACCTCATGGCAGATTCATTATTCAAAGATTCATCATAGTTAAGACTATTCCTACATTCACTGTTAACCTATCACAACCTATACCGGAAAATTATACTTGTGTACACAAGGTCAATTTTCTTTTATGTATACATATTAAATGTTGAATCCCCTTAGCTTTTTCGCATGTTTACTCTTTTTATTTTTTAAATACCTTTGGTGAAAATCCTGCCTCTGTCACTACCACAACCCTCCCCATTTAAAAATCCTACTTTTTGCTTTGATTTGAGCAGGTCTCATATTCATTTATAATGAAAAAGAAAAATATCTTAAGTAATTAAAATATCCACATAGATTCTCGTCATTGTACTGTGGCTAGATATGTAAACAGGAACAAGGTAAACAGAAATGTGAAGGGAAACCTACCTCTTTGAGAATGAGATCAATAGGTTCTGCTCCACCTTTTGAAACAAAGGTCTCAGTTTGATTTCTTTTCAACCATCAAACCAAAAACAAAACAAAAAAAGACCCATTAAAGAGAGGATCATGAACATTAATGGGTCATTAAAATCTTGAAAAATTGGGATTAACAAGGATTAGAAATAATTACCTCAAGGGAAGGCAGTTAGAATGGCTAATGGGATCCCCAAGACGACGAGGTTTGGGACAAATGAGCGAACCCATTGGATTAGCGCCGCAATTCAGTGGTCGCGAATCGGCTACAACCCAATTTTAGTCCGCCCCAAGGGAATGGGAAATCCCCATCACCTCTTGAAGGTGGCCCGAAAAAGGAAAAGAAAAACTAAAAGTAGGCTTTTTCTGCCTACAATTATGGCAAATGGCCTATTTTCCTAAGACTATAAAACTCCTCACATAGGATGTACAGTATATATTTTCATGGTCCTATATTTACATCCGTCCCATTTTAGGTAAATATTTATCACAATTTAATGTTAGTACTTCAAAATTAAAGTAACATATCTTGCATTAAATACTTTTTTTTTATTTAATAAGTTCGACTGAATTTTTACTTTCATGTCAAACCGACATAATAGAAATAAGACAAAATTACATAATAATATAGCCAAAATTTCACGGTATAGCCAGCTTTCGGACTGGTCAATCAAAAATAGCTAGCGTTTACCAAGTCAATGAAAAATAGCCACCGTTTTGCTGCAATAGAGACCGGTCCAGCATAATATACTGGAGTTCGGTGCACTTGTGTATGAACTCCAGCATATTATGCTGGACCGATATACTTTGTTGGCTCCAGTATAATATACTGGAGACTGGAGCACTGGTGCTCCAAACTCCAGTATATTATACTGGACCATTATACTTGCTGGAACTCCAGTATATTATGCTGGAGTTCTAGTGTATTTATGCTGGAACTCCATCATATTATGCTGGAGTTCCAGCATACTATCCTGGAACTCCAGTATAATATGCTGGAGTTCAAGTATACTTATGCTGGAACTCCAGCATAATATACTGGAGTATTTTCCGGGTTTTGAACAGTGTTTTCGCTCAGATTTATCTTTACATCAAAAGTAGCTAAATTTTGATTACTTTTGAAATTGGGCTATTTTTGAACGATCAGTTGTAAATCAAGCTATTTTTAAAAATTACCCTAATACACTCTATAAGTTGACTTGCACTATTTTAGCGCAGTTACAAGTTTGCATGTGTAGCCAAATATCAATAAGATCTTTTCTTTTCTCATTCCCTCTAATTATAACTGATCACGCCTAACTATGCCTTATAAAAAGGACTCTGCGGACATTGCAAATATAACCCGAGTATTACGCCCAGGGTCGAATCCACAGAGAGTTAACCTATCAACCACTATCTTCAGACCCACTAATTCTTCAGAATCAGCTTCCCAAATATTCAAATCTCAGTTGAGTGTTCTTTAACAACTAGCTTGCAAGTAACTAAATGGCTGTAAACTAAATAAGGTTGTAAACAATTATGAGGAAAAGCTAAGGCAATGATTTCCCCTATTGATGGAATCCCTTCTGTTTATGCTCATACAAATTTACCCACACATCTCTATCAATCATGACCGCTAATCTTACCGGAAATCTCTGCCGAGTAACCACAGTAATCTACTATTGCACTCTCCCGAGATACACTAGCTTACTTTATTTAGCACAATTCACTTTAGATTACACCCAAGGCTTCGTTATCCCTAATCCCGCCTTTAAACCCGCAATTATAGATTCCTCTAATAATCTAGGAGTGGTGTTGTTCAACAATACCCTAAATATGCACTCTTTTCCAAGTTATGCACACTAAATAGGCACAGCTAATTGAGGATCCTGTCAATTAACTACAACGAACACGAAGTTGAACAAATAGAGATTAAACTAGCAATTTGTATTCACATAAACAAGAAGTTCATCACCCAATAGGTTCCATCAAAATCTTAGACAAGGACTTTAGCTACTCATGGCTATGGGAAAAGAAACTAAGATTGAATTCATCATAAAAATCAAAAGAAAAGAAGAAAGATGTTTAGAGTATTCTCTCACAATGGTTTTCCTTGCTAAGAAACCTTAAAAATCAATACATGCCTCTCTTGGGCGAAGTCTAATGTTTTAAATAGGGTTTAGGTCTAAAATTCCCATAATTGACACTTTGGTCCCTGAAGTTTCTGCGCCTGCCGCGGTTCTGCCGCGATCGCGGTAGAACCGCGGCCAAACACCCTCGCGGATTCTCAGAACTTCTGCAGCTGCCTCGCACCGCGGTTCTGCCGCGGTCGCGGTGGAACCACGGTGGACTCAGTGCTCTGAATCTTCGGCCTGTTTTGCATGGTTCACTTGGGAAATTTCACAGTTGGCCTCTTTTTCATCAATTTTGATTCCAAAACTGCTCCTTAGCCTTCCTTGTACATATATCACCTGCAAATCATGAAAAGCACTAATAAGAGCATTTTGTTATCACTTTTAGCATTAAAACTACACAAGAAGGTGATTATTTAAGGTGTGATTATAGTCAAATTCACCTATTATCAACACCCCACACTTAAACCTTTGCTCGTCCTCGAGCAACTAAACCACACTTCTAGGCCTAACTGCTCAATGCATTGCCCCAATTTATGTCACACCTGCTATTATCAAAGATTGACCGAAGCGGTGCACAATCATATCTTAGATGCAGACTCTCATGCCAAGACACACTTGTGCTAACTCTAATTACTCTAACAGAAATGAAGACTCACTTTTTCTTTCTGAGTCACATGCCCTCACATAAACAAAAGCTGAGAGAAGTTCCACACACATAAAATTCAACAACAAGGAACCATATATAGAAAGAATTCACTCGCTCTCAGCAAAGAGCATTCACATGCCACACAGACACACCATAAGCTTGCCCCTAGTGTAATACTCCACTAATCGAGCCATTCAGTCGAAGATCAAGAGGTCTTTATAGGTTGTAATGTAGGCTAAGGGACGGGTAATATATATTTGGATATAGTGACTAACCTCCCTAAGCACTTTTAATACACACTTCCTTTTGTTTCACCTTCATGTTCAACCCAATCATTATTCCACATTTTGTTTCACTTGTGACTCCCACTTTTCTTTAGGTACAACTGGCTTCTTCTTTTTCTTTTCTTTTTCTTTTCAGATTTATTGTACACTGCCAGTTCACCAACCAGACCTTCATTCTTGATCCCCCCTTTTTTTTTCACTATCTCTCTCCCACCCCACACTTTGACTTTTGTATATTCTTTAGTGATTCAAGTGCTTCTAGGAGGTAAAGGTTTAAACAATTCGCTTATTCAAACACAGCGATTTAGATCATTATAGGGTTATCAAAGAACAGGCTTCAGGCTCAAAGGGGTTAACTATGGTAATATGCACTGGTGGATTCTCAAGTATACAGGGTTGCACAACGAAATGCCTCAATCATCTCTAAAACCAAACGACTTCTATTTCGCTTTGCAAACACACAGGGCAAGTTCTAGGTATCATATGCAAGCATAGGATGCAAGTAACAACTCACACACACTTAGCATGTAACTCATTCCGAATCAGTTCATCAACACAATCATACGAGTGTTCAAGCCAGACAAGATGTGCAAAATTAAGGCATATATTATGAGTCCACAAACAAGCTTAGACGTCCACTCTCAAGTTCTTTTCTTTGCAAGTGTGCACATTTGGGGTTACATTCTGACCTTCACCCATCTAATCCTAAAACTACAAAAGAAAAATCTACCTAACCCGGTTCAAGAAAAACCCTTGGAAAAGAACCGTGGTCAAAAGAAAAACCAAGGAGGAGGTACTACACTGCCTAAAAGAAGAAAGTAAAAATAAAAAAAAATTCTACATGGACTACTTCCCTCAAGAGTACTGTCCACATAGTCCGTCATCAGGAAGAGTCCTCTACAAGTTTTTTTTTTTTTTTATATATCTGACTTTGACCCTCAAGAGACCCGTCAACAAGTGTCCGTCGTTGGGCCAAGTCAGCTATTCCTAATATAACACACTCACATATATACAACATCATCTAATGCTACAGCACAACAACATCTATATACATTACAATACACAGTTAGAGCAAGTCTCCCACCCCACACTTAAAATCATGGCATGTCCCCATGTCATATTAATAAAGTAAAGAGCAGAAGGGTGAGAAGACTTCCCTGAGACTCAATCCGAGTCGGAGACGGTGCTGGGGTCTACATGGCAGGCCCTCCCCAATGCACGTAACCAAGCCATAAACCGGCTCTCAGATCTAGCCTGCCTCTGCGACATGGCGTCCATCCGCGTGTGTAGACCATCCACCGAGGTGCGGAGATCCGCGACCTCTTCCTCCAAGGAGCGCAGCATAGGCCGGGAGGACTGTGAGCGTGATAGGTCTGCTCCAGAATGGGGGCGCCGAGAGGGCCCGGCACTGTCAACAGACCGCCTGGACGGTGCAAAAGGAACCGGATCATCCTCCTCATCATCAATCTCAATTGTGGTACGTGTACCCCTGCCCACTCTGATGCTAGAAGCTTTGAAAGCTGCTCTGGGAGGCAAATCTCCATCTGCAGGATTGGTGGGGGTGTTTCTCATCAAGCACAATGTGGTTACCAAGGAAGGGAAATAGAATCCCTTTGTCAGCAGCGGTCCCCGTAAGACCATTTCATCTCCAATTACCCGGGCCGCATCAAAATCCTTCCCTGCCACAAAGCACCAAGTCAACAGTGCCCTATTGAAGTTCACGTCCGTGGTATTGCTGGATGGCAGGAACCTGCTACAGATAACAGTCAACCAACACTTGGCCAAGTGAGTGAAAGAGTTAGAGTTGAGGGTTATTTGGTCACGTATCCAAATGGGCTGCCCCCTGTGCAAAGTACATCCGTCATGACCTCCCATGTCACCCCCGGTCTGTCATGGTAATAGTCGACGTCACTGGTGAACGGAGGCAGCCGCAACACCCGGCGAATTGTTTGAATTTGAGCACTGACCACCATACCCCGAACAATCACCTCCCTACCCAAGTTCAATGGGCAGTTGGCATAAAATTCACGAACCAGCATCTTGTTAACTGGTGCAGGGTCAGTAAATAGGAATTCCATTTCCCGCCTCCGTATTTCTTCATACATCTCCACTTTTTCGGCTCGAAGGGCTACCCGATCAATCGGGATCTCATGGATAAAGGTTTTTGTAGCCTTGGCATTGAAGTCGTCCTCTGCCAGTTCCGATTGGAATCTGGACTCATCATAAGCAGGTCGTTGGGATGTGCCTCCAGAGCGCCTTTGCCTTTTGGGAGCCATGTGACCTGCAAATAATCAAACAAACCATCAACATATGCCCTAGCTAGTGCCAATAAGATGGTTACTCAGACTTCACCACCCAATGACACCAAATATTTCCCCTTAATTCATTCATAACAACCTCCACAATAGCCTCATAATTTTCTTACCACTTCCGGCATAATACACCCCACACTTACTCCTTTCAATGTTACACATGACATACAACACCACCATATAACAAATACCACCATACCAACAATCAACTACACATCAACAACCATCAATTACAACATCCCAAACCTAGGTTGGGCCTAAAACACCACAAAAATATACAACATAGTACCACAATTTTCGGCCAACACATGACCCAATACCATACTACACCACAAAAATCTAGTTTAGGCCTCCAAACCACCAAAACAACTTCACAATTATTTAATAATGGAGACCCAATTAATTTGGCACCAAACAACCTCATAAACATCAACTACAACAACTACAACAATGGCAAACATAAAAGAAAGCAAAAAAAAAATTTAAATTACTACACTACTCCTACTAGGGTTTAAGCAAAAATATTAATTTAACAAATTACACTACTTAGAAGAGAAAGAAATAGAAAGAGAGAAGAATAACTTACTTGAGTTGAAGAGGGGAAGGAATGGAGGTGTGTTAATGGAGGTTTGGAGAGGAAGGGGGTTGTTAATGGAGGTTTGAAGAAGAAGAAGAAGGAGAGTTTTAGGTGAAGAGAGAGAGAAAAAGGAGTGGGATGGGGATTGGGGCGGAATTATTGGAGGGGAAATAGAAGAGGGGGGGGGGTTTGAGGGTGTTAAAGAAAAAGAAAGAAAAATAAAAAATAGAAAAAAATTACTTACCTGGCCGCGTCTGTGACTGCCGCGGTTCTGCCGCGGTCGTGGTAGAACCGCGAGCAGTGAGATTCCGCGAGGCCTTCTGACCGCGGTTTCACCGCGGTCGCGGTAGAACCGCGGTCGAGGCCCTTCTCTGATTCTAACGCCCAGTTTTTTTTTTTTTAAAGGTTACAATTACAACAATGTCATGGGTTGCCTCCCACGTAGCGCCTGATTTAACGTCGCGGCACGACTCATGTGAGCGAAATTAAGGTTCGCTCGACCTCTGGGGTTCATTCAAATGCAGCTCGGTCATCTCCTTAGGCTCGTTCATGCCCACATACAATTTCAACCGCTGACCATTGACTCTAAATGTACGAGAGTCATCTTCAGTAGCAACTTCCACAGCTCCGGATGGAAACACTTCAACCACGCGAAATGGTCCAGACCACCTTGACTTTAGCTTACCCGGGAATAACCGCAGTCTTGAGTTATAAAGCAATACCCTGTCCCCAGGTTTGAAATTTCGTTCAATGATGTTCTGATCGTGAAGCTTCTTCATTCTCTCTTTATATAGCCTTGTGCTCTCAAAAGCAAGATACCGGAACTCCTCTAGCTCATGTAATTCAGTGACTCTCGACGTGCCCGCAGCTTCCAAGTCTAAATTCAGCTGTTTCAGTGCCCACCATGCTTTATGTTCAAGTTCTACAGGTAGGTGACAGGCCTTCCCAAACACCAACTTATATGGTGACATACCAATTGGTGTCTTGAAAGCTGTCCTGTAGGCCCATAGTGCATCATCTAGCTTCCTTGACCAGTCAGTTCTTGTAGCATTTACAGTTTTTGTCAATACGCTCTTGATCTCTCTGTTGGACACCTCAACCTGTCCACTGGTCTGTGGGTGGTACGGAGTGGCCACCTTGTGGCGCACATCATATTTAGCCAACAACTTCTCGAAGGCCCAGTTGCAGAAATGAGTACCTCCGTCGCTGATAATTGCACGCGGTGTCCCAAAGCGGGTGAATATGTTCTTCTTTAGAAACCCGACTACCACCTTAGCATCATTGGTGGGTAATGCTGCAGCTTCCACCCACTTGGACACATAGTCTACAGCAACAAGAATGTATTTATTGCCATAGGAGCTGACAAAGGGACCCATAAAATCTATCCCCCAAACATCAAACACTTCCACCTCTTGAACTGGGTTCATGGGCATCTCGTGACACCGGGAAATGTTCCCGGTGCGTTGACATTCATTACAGCCCTTGACCCATAAGTGAGCATCCTTGAACACCGTTGGCCAGAAAAATCCGGCCTCTAGCACCTTAGCTGCTGTCCTGATTCCTCCAAAGTGACCGCCATACGCCGAAGCGTGACAAGCCTGCAAGACAGAAGATTGTTCGATCTCGGGGACGCATCTCCGGATCATGTTATCAAGGCATATTCTAAACAAATAGGGCTCATCCCAGTAATACCATTGGCTTTCACGAAAGAATCTCTTCCTCTGGACCGATGACAGGTCGTGAGGAANTATTGTAATGTGTGATTCAGTTGGTCGACCGGTGTAATTAAATGTGGACTGTAATTAGGACTTTAAAAATGACTTGTACTGTCACCTTGGATTTCCAGTTTGTAGTAGTTGTTGAGATCTATAATCGTATATAACTGCATCACTTGAACTAGTGGGCTGTAGTATTATAGCAGGGCAAGTAGCAGTCGTCGAGATTTGAAATAATGGGACTATTGTATGACTTGTGTTAATGAGACTGATGAGTCGATTCGAGTATATTTTAGATTCGTATGAGCTTTGTTTTTGCATTAGTGTCATCTCAATTCAACACGGAATTCAAAGTAGGTATTAATCAAGTGCGAATCTGATTAGGTATTATATTATAACTCTGTTAATTTACCAGCACGTCCAAGTAGCAGTAGTAGTTGTCATTAAGCCTCATGAATGTGTAATAAAGCTGTGTTTGTGATAGCCTCAATTTAGTTTGATTTCTGTATGCATCCCAGTAGCCAAAACGTGGTAAAAGCCAAAAGGGTTGGGATTAAATCGTTGGTAGTGTAATGGTATTCTGCCGATGGGTCCAAAGACAAGACAAATGGCTGTTTCGGTTTGCTAATAAATCGAAGTCAACTTGGATTGGGCTTTTGATAACGTATGGTTTAGCCCTGATCCAGTGTTGCATGTTTTCCATATTGGGCCTGTACAAGGGCCACGCTGGGGAAGTCCGTTCAAGCAATGAGGCTGCCTGTATAAAGTACCAAACTCAAAGTCAATTCTGGACATAATAGGATATTGAAACTACTAATTGGTTAGGACCTTTTTTTTTATTTATAGAGGACAATAAAAAAAAAAGAGAAAAAGAAAAAATCCTAGTTCACTTTAGGATATCTTTTTACAAATTACAATGAGATGAGCCTTGCCAAATAGAACAAACCAATTACGGGGCCCTCGATAGATGCTATATAAAATGCTTAGAACTCGGGCGGACCATTTAGCGAATTTCATGGTCTTCTCCAAATATAATAAACTCGTAGTTGCTTTAGGCACGAATTTTAATAATATTACCTTCCTAAAAGTGGGTGCACATTTATGTGACCCGAATCCAAATCCCAACGAAGTCGAAATGCGTCAAAAGCCACGGGTGCACTGGTGTAACGTGGTTCGAGGTACATTTTCACGACGTTGCAATTCTTATTAAAAAGACATAAAGTAAAAGCGGTTAAAATAAAAGGCACATAGGTTAGAATATGTTTTAAAATCAGATAAAAGCAAATACAACAGTTGAGCGACCGTGCTAGAACCACGGAATCCGGGAGTGCCTAATACCTTCTCCCGGGTTAACAGAATTCCTTACTCGGAGTTCTGGTTCGCGGACTGTTAACAGAGTCATAATTTCCTCGGATCGGGATTCAACCGGTGACTTGGGACACCATTAATCTCCTAAGTGGCGACTCTGAATATTAATAATAAATCCCGTTCCGACTGTCCTTTAATTGGAAAAACTCCTTTACACCCTCACAGGTGTAGAAAAAAGGAGGTGTGACACCGACCACCACCTTAGCATCATTGGTGGGTAATGCTGCAGCTTCCACCCACTTGGACACGTAGTCTACAGCAACAAGAATGTATTTATTGCCATAGGAGCTGACGAAGGGACCCATGAAATCTATCCCCCAAACATCAAACACTTCCACCTCTTGAACTGGGTTCATGGGCATCTCGTGACGCCGGGAAATGTTCACGGTGCATTGACATTCATTACAGCCCTTGACCCACAAGTGAGCATCCTTGAACACCGTTGGCCAGAAAAATCCGGCCTCTAGCACCTTAGCTGCTGTCCTAATTCCTCCAAAGTGACCACCATACGCCGAAGCGTGACAAGCCTGCAAGACAGAAGATTGTTCGATCTCGGGGACGCATCTCCGGATCATGTTATCAAGGCATATTCTAAACAAGTAGGGCTCATCCCAGTAATACAATTGGCTTTCACGAAAGAATCTCTTCCTCTGGACCGATGACAGGTCGTGAGGAACAATACCACTGGCCAGGTAATTAGCATAGTCTGCATACCAAGGCACTTCCTGATGAGTGGTTGCGAGCAGCTGCTCATCTGGAAAAGTTTCCAGAACTTCCTCAACTTCTACTACATTTTCAGCTCCTTCAAGTCGTGATAGGTGATCAGCGACTTGATTTTCAGTGCCCTTGCGGTCACGAATTTCAAGATCAAACTCTTGCAGTAGCAACACCCAACAAATCAGGCGTGGCTTAGAGTCCTTCTTTTCTATTAAGTATCTAAGAGCTGCATGGTCAGTGTATACGATTACCTTGGATCCTATCAGATAGGACTGGAACTTGTCAAAAGCAAATACCACAGCTAGCATCTCCTTTTCTGTCACTGTGTAGTTCAACTGGGCTCCGCTCAGCGTCCTACTAGCATAGTAGATTGGGTGCATCAATTTGTCCTTCCGCTGGCCCAGCACTGCCCCCACCGCATAGTCACTAGCATCACACATTAATTCGAACGGTTGCTCCCAGTTTGGGGCAACGATTATGGGTGCTGTGACCAGCCTTTGCTTCAACTCCTCAAAAGCTACCCTGCAATCATCAGAAAATACAAAAGGGTGATCTTTCTCTAACAACTTACAGAGAGGGTTGGCGATTTTGGAGAAGTCCTTAATGAACCTCCGGTAGAACCCGGCATGTCCAAGGAAGCTTCTTATGGCTTTGACTGAAGTTGGTGGCGGCAGCTTTGCTATGACATCAACCTTTGCTCTATCAACCTCTATTCCTTTGCTTGACACCCGGTGCCCCAAGACTATGCCTTCTTCTACCATGAAATGGCACTTTTCCCAATTCAGAACCAAGTTAGTCTCGATGCACCGTTTCAGCACACGCGTCAGATTCACTAGGCATTCCTCAAATGAATTCCCCACCACTGAGAAGTCATCCACGAACACCTCCATTATATCTTCTACCATGTCAGTGAATATGGCCATCATGCACCGTTGGAATGTGGCGGGTGCATTGCATAGGCCAAAGGGCATTCTCCTGAAGGCATAAATTCCGTATGGGCATGTGAAGGAGGTCTTTTCTCTATCCTCAGGGGCAATGGAGATCTTATTGTACCCTGAGTAACCATCCAAGAAGCAAAAGTGTGACCTCCCTGCCAATCTATCCAGCATTTGATCACTGAAGGGAAGTGGGAAGTGGTCTTTCCTGGTGGCTAGATTCAACTTTCTGTAATCCATGCAAATTCTCCAGCCTGTGACGGTTCTTGTTGAGATAAGTTCATTGTTGTCATTCTTCACCACCGTCATGCCACCCTTTTTAGGCACACATTGAATTGGGATAACCCGGCTACTGTCAGAAATTGGGAAAATGATTCCCGCATCCAACCACTTTATCACTTCCTTCTTCACCACCTCCTTCATATTTGGGTTCAGCCTCCTCTGATGTTCCCTTGAAGGTTTGTGCCCCTCTTCCAGCAGAATCTTATGCATGCAATAGGCGGGGTTGATCCCCTTGATGTCTGCCATGGTCCACCCAATGGCAGTTTTGCACTCCTTTAGTACCTGTATAAGCTGCTGAACCTGCACATCGAACAAACCAGATGAGATAATAACAGGTAATGTGGAGTTGGGACCCAGATACTCATACCTGAGGTGGGCTGGTAATGGCTTTAGTTCCAGCTTAGGTGGTTCTTCAATGGATGGCTTTGCTGGAGGGGTCTCTCTCTTTTCTAAGTGTAAAGGCTCAAACTCTAAATTTCTGTCCCAGAACCCTTTACCTTCCAATGCCAACACCCATTCCGCCAAATCCTCACCATTCACTTCATCCAAATTTGTCAAGCATGCAGTAAGGGGATCCTCAACCGTCCATGCCTCATCATCAGACTCTACAATTACATCCACTGCATCAATAAGAGAACAATTTGTGAACTCACTTGGTCGCCTCATCGATTTCTGCACATTGAATATAATTTCTTCATCATTGAGCCTCATCTTGAGCTCCCCAGTCTCGCAATCAATCAAGGCTCTCCCCGTGGCCAAGAATGGTCGTCCTAAGATTATAGGAATTTCTTCATCCACTTTGCAATCCAAGATTACAAAATCTGCAGGGAACACGAATTTCCCCACCTGAATAAGCACATCATCAAGGATACCAAATGGACGCTTCACAGTCCTGTCGACCAGCTGCAACAACATAGAGGTAGGTCTAGCTCTCCCAATGCCCAACCTCTTATAAATAACCAGGGGCATAAGATTAATGCTGGCCCCTAAATCACAAAGTGCCTTAGCAAAGGCATAGTTCCCAATAGTGCATGGGATTGTAAAACTACCTGGATCAGATAGCTTTTCAGCAACAAGTCTAGATACCACTGCACTACAGGTTTGAGTAAGTGTCACTGTGGATAAGTCTTGAAAGTCAAACTTCCGAGACATCAAGTCCTTCATCATTTTAGCGTATCCTGGCATCTCCTTTAGAGCTTCTATCAGTGGAATGTTTACCTGGATTTGTTTGAGCATCTCCAAGAACTTTTTATACTGCTCCTCCTTTTGATGCTTGGCCAACCTTTGTGGAAATGGTGCAGGAGGTCTTTTCTTCCCAATCACTTGAGATTTCTCTTTCTCAGCTACTGTTTCAACTACTGGCTCAGCTACTGTCTCAGTCTCTTGCTGCATATTCTTTTCTTCAGGTGCGGGCTGGACTGTTACCTCTGTCAATCCCGTAGACTCATCCAGCTCAATGGGTACTGGAATGAGTGTCTCAGCCTGTATGTTTTCTCGAGCTCTCTCTTGCTCAACATCTAGATCCCTACCATTCCGGAGACTCACCACCATCAGCTGCTTTGGGCCCTGATCTTTTGGATTGATTTGGGTATCTGCAGGTAATGTCCCTTGAGGACGATTGTTAAGTGACATTGAAATCTGGCCCACTTGTACCTCAATATTTTTGATAGCTGCATCATGTGCATCCACCCTTTCATTTATCTTAGCATTGGACCCAATAACCTGCTGCATCATTGCTTCAAGTCTTGCAAACCCGTCTTCCTGTCTTCCACCCTGCTGTTGCTGAGGTGGGTGGTACCCTTGCTGCTGATTGTTGTACCCCTGTGGTCTAGGATACGGTGCCATGTTGTTGGGGGGTCTCATGCCTCCCATGTTTCCGGCGTTATACTGTGGCTGCGGTGGCCTGTACTGCTGCTGAGTCTGCTGACCCCAGTTCTGATTACCTTGCCTCTGACCCCCATAGTTAGCCACATAGTTCATATCTTCAGGGTGCTGATGATGATGATCATGCTCTGTATTCCAAGGATTACCAATTGGCTGGCTAATGCAAGATGTGCACAAGCCCCCATTGGTAGTGTCTACTATATGAACCTGTTGCTTCTGCCCTGATTCCTCCACCTTTTTGGTGAGGATGCTCATTTGCGTCAAAAGAGTCGCCATGTTTTCAGCCATTGTATTAGAAGGATCAAGAGGCACTGAGTGCACCACTGGAGTGATAGGTGCATTCCTAGATGTCCAACCCGAATTCTGCGCCATCTTGTCGAGCAAATTCTGACCTTCTCTCCAAGTCTTGCTCAAGAATGCCCCACCAGCAGAGGCATCAACGATATTCTTCATGCTGTCTGACAGTCCCATGTAAAACCGTTGTCCCAACATCTGTTCTGGAACACCATGGTGGGGACACATAACCAACATTCCTTTAAACCTGCCCCATGTCTCGTGTAGTGTCTCCATTGGTTTCTGTTTGAAACTCACAATCTCATCAATTTGTTGAGCAGTTTTGTTGGGCGGATGGAACTTGTTGTGAAATTGCTTGACCAACTCATCCCAAGTTTCTATAGAGTTTATGGGGAGCGAGTTTAGCCAAACCTGAGCAGCTCCTGTCACCGAGAATGGAAACAATAATAGCCTGATTGCTTCCGGAGTCACGTTGGGTTGCCTTTGAGTTTTGCATATAGACAGGAAGTTCTTCAAGTGCTGCTGAGGATCTTCTGTTTGTGTCCCAGAAAAGAGTCCCTTGTTCTGCAACAAGTGTAGCATGTTATTTGTGATCTGGAACGATTCAGCTTGTATTGCGGGCACAACAATGGCAGTGGCCAAATTGTCAGCTGTGGGTTGTGCCCAGTCATATAGTGCACCCTCAGGCACAGGAGGTGCCAATTGCTCATTCCTGACGTTCCCGTTGGGATCGTTTATGTCGCCCATGTCAATTTCGAATTGGTGTTTTTGTTGGGGTTGTTGAAGTCTTTTGTTGGCATGATTCAATGCCCGGAATGTCTTCTCGGGGTCTGAGAGTCCTTCAAGTAGTTCTCCAGTCCTCGTAGAATTTCTAGGCATACACCTGCGCACCCAGATCAACAACCATCAAATTTTCAATGAAAAAGTTGGTAGAGAGAAGACTGACTACAATAAGAATCCTTGTATTTCTGTCAATGGCAATTGATAATTCCGTTAACTCCCCGGCAACGGCGCCAAAATTTGATCACGCCCAACTATGCCTTATAAAAAGGACTCTGCGGACGTTGCAAATATAACCCGAGTATTACGCCCAGGGTCGAATCCACAGAGAGTTAACCTATCAACCACTATCTTCAGACCCACTAATTCTTCAGAATCGGCTTCCCAAATATTCAAATCTCAGTTGAGTGTTCTTTAACAACTAGCTTGCAAGTAACTAAATGGCTGTAAACTAAATTAATAAGGTTGTAAACAATTATGAGGAAAAGCTAAGGCAATGATTTCCCCTATTGATGAAATCCCTTCTGTTTATGCTCATACAAATTTACCCACACATCTCTATCAATCATGAACGCTAATCTTACCGCAAATCTCTCCCGAGTAACCACAGTAATCTACTATTGCACTCTCCCGAGATACACTAGCTTACTTTATTTAGCACAATTCACTTTAGATTACACCCAAGGCTTCGTTATCCCTAATCCCGCCTTTAAACCCGCAATTATAGATTCCTCTAATAATCTAGGAGTGGTGTTGTTCAACAATACCCCAAATATGCACTCTTTTCCAAGTTATGCACACTAAATAGGCACAGCTAATTGAGGATCCTGTCAATTAACTACAACGAACACGAAGTTGAACAAATAGAGATTAAACTAGCAATTTGTATTAACATAAACAAGAAGTTTATCACCCAATAGGTTCCATCAAAACCTTAGACAAGGAATTTAGCTACTCATGGCTATGGGAAAATAGACTAAGATTGAATTCATCATAAAAATCAAAAGAAAAAAAGAAAGATGTTTAGAGTATTCTCTCACAATGGTTTTCCTTGCTAAGAAACCTTAAAAATCAATACATGCCTCTCTTGGGCGAAGTCTAATGTTTTAAATAGGGTTTAGGTCTAAAAATCCCGTAATTGACACTTTGGTCCCTGAAGTTTCTGCGCCTGCCGAGGTTCTGCCGCGGTTTCTCTGAACTTCTGCAGCTGTCTCCCACCGCGGTTCTGCCGCGGTCGCGGTGGAACCACGGTGGACCCAGTGCTCTGAATCTTCGGCCTGTTTTGCATGGTTCATTTGGGAAATTTCACAGTTGGCCTCTTTTTCATCAATTTTGACTCCAAAACTGCTCCTTAGCCTTCCTTATACATATATCACCGGCAAATCATGAAAAGCACTAATAAGAGCATTTTGTCATCACTTTTAGCATTAAAACTACACAAGAAGGTGATTATTTAAGGTGTGATTATAGTCAAATTCACCTATTATCAATAACCACCTCATTTATTCCTACATACCCCTATTGTAGCTCTCTCCTTATTTTTCACCCATAAATATTTAATTTAATTAATAAAAAAGAATCATATGCAAACAAAAATCAGTTTCCCATTTTTAGTGTAACCATTGATCAAGACACTCAGTCAAAACTCATTCGTGCCTTCTTCCATAACTAATACTTCTCCGATTTTTTTTTTTTAGTTTTGTATATCTTCAAGTTTACACATACGTATCACAACTACAAAACGCAAAAACAGACGCGAGAAACCTAAAATCCATCTCCTTTAATGATAATCTTGTTTAAATTTCGATTATGATTTTGTAAGAAATTTGGAGTGGGTATTGTTTGAACTTATTAGAAATAGTCTAAGTAGGGTTGTATTCAAAGTTTGAAGTTATTTGCTGGAGATTTGGACCAGTTTAATACAAGAATTGCAAGTGAAAATCGTACAAAAATGTCGTCAAAGATGTTTATACACTATTATACAAAGAAGTACATTATTTATATAGTTGTATAAAAGTGTATAAAGATGTATAATCAGAGAGTGAAAATATTCTTGATACACTACGTATATATGTGTATAAGAAGAAGAAGAAGAAGAAGAAGAAGAAGAAGAAGAAGAAGAAGAAGAAGAAGAAGAAGAAGAAGAAGAAGAAGAAGAAGAAGAAGAAGAAGAAGAAAAAAATGCGAGAAATTCACCAAATACCTGTAAATAATGTATCAACCTTGTATATAATAGTGTATAAGTGGTGTTTATACACTATTATACACTATTTATACAATATTATACATTATTATACAAATGAATCCTATCAGTGGAGCTTCACGTGTTCTTCTTCTTCCTTGGGCATCCTCTGAAATTTAACTCAAATATAGCCTAAATCTACTCCAAATCACTTGAAATTTAAGTTTTGAACTCATCTTGATGATTCCAATGAATTGGGACAACACCCATTCCAAACAACTAACAAATTGAAAAACTCAAATTCTAAAATTGAATCTTCGAACCACCTGTAATGGTGGCTTTTATTTTTCAAATCCTTAGTTAACCATTGGAATCCGAAAAAGAATTAAAGGAGAATAACAATAGTAGAGAAATTTTGTGGTGCAAATGCTGACACAGGAAGAAGAAGAAGAACGAAGAAAAAAGAGGAACGAAGAAAAAAAGGGATGGGCTAACTGGTGAAAAGTAATTGAGAAATTTTCACAAACCACTATTGTTTAGTGGTTATTAGTTGTAGCTACCATTTACTATATTACTTCCTATAGCTATATTTTTAGTTTTGCTAGAGTGTATTCGATGTATTTAAGTTACTGTATTCATGAATACAATAGCAAAACTCGGCGTGAAACAGGGGAGTACAGCTAGGCAATTATTGTATTCGACTGTATTCACGATGTGTATTTGTGAATACAGTAACGTAAATAGCATAACTCGTGGTCTATTCAGCTGTTTTAAACGGGAAGTGAATCAATTAACATAAATAGACTCCTAATATAACTCAACAAACTCAATTATAAATTTGAATACATAAAAATATCTGAATACATAAATTATATTAATTTAAAAAAACATATGAATACATTCATGGAATATAGCGAGACAGTGAATACAATGAAATACATGGAATACAGCGAGATACATTAAAATACAATGAAAAAAAAGACAATGAATACAATGAAATACATAGAATACAGCGAGATACATTGAAATACAATGAAAAAAAAGGTAACACACTCTTCAAGTTGCTCAGCCCCAAACTCTATCGTCTTTGTTCAAGAATAACTCTAATATGGTCTCGTCGATAGCAGATTTCGAACCTCCATTGTCATCCCCAATTTACCCTATGTCAGATTTCGACATTGATACGAAAGAGGATTGGCATTAATGGAGAGAAAGTGGAGAAATAGAAGGCAACTTTCCTACTAGTAAAAAAGAGGGGAGAGTTTAATCTTTTTCTTTTTACAGGTTTAAAATTCTTTCACCAATGAAAGAGGATTTATTAGCATAGTCGTTATTTTCGTTCAGCCCCAATTTACCTTTTAATAGCAGATTTCAAACCTCCATCTTTTTCTCTATGGCTTAATTTCGACATTGATCCAGAGCCCCAGGCCACTGACAATGAAAATTTCGTTCGACGATGAGATGAATTAGTGGAGAATCATGGTTGTATTCATGGAGAAAGACTGGCGTTGAGAGAGAGAGATGGTGGAGAAAAATCTGAAAGAATGAGAGAGAAAAATAATACGAAGCGTATTTTTTGGCTTAAGGATAGGAGGTGACCATAAATAGATATTTGGCTATAAAAATCAAAAGGTAGCTATGGAATATAATTTTTTAAAAGAGTATTTATTTAAATAAATAAGGTATCAACCTTTGCTACAGGAGGTAAAAATTCTAAAGTAATTTTCAGGTTATGTACAACATGAGCTACACTGAGTAAGTGCTTCAAACGTGGGCTATTTTCTGATGGATTGTTGGGCCAAGTGACAAGGGATGTAATTCACCCTAGCAATAATATATATATATATANACCTTTCGCACAACCATTAAGGAAATACGAACTCCTAGAGAAAAAAAAAATGTATTCACTAAATTAACCTTAATTAATTGTTACCTTGACACATTGGAATATGTAAATAAGGGCAATTTTTGGAAAAGTAAGATTAATTCCTTTTTGATTATGTAAATGGACACTTATTTTGGGCCAAATTAAAATGGTAAAATGGACACTTATTATGGACGGGAGAGAATACTAGTTAAGGTATTTGGCTAAGTGTTTAGAAGACAATTGTTTGTGAAGAGTAAGTTGTTTGGCCAAACTTCTAAAATCTATTCATTTTGAAAAATATTTTTTGATAGAAGTATTCTCGAAAAAGTACTTTTTTAGAGTAGCAATTTATGTTTGGCGAAATCAATTTAAAAGTACTTTTATCAATATTAGAACAACAATTTATGCTTAGCAAAAGTACCCAAAAAAAAAGGTGCTTATTGGAAAAAAAATTAACTTTTGAAAAATAACTTTTATACTACTCAAAAATACTTATTTTTCCTTTTCTAAAAGTTTAATCAAACACCCAAATTCTCTAAAATAAGTACTTTATTATAAATTAAAATATTATGGGCTTCGCAGAAGACTAAACAGGCTATTTGAGTTCAAATAGCTATTGATCTACTATATTTATAATCTATAATTTTATTTTCCATTATATGTACATGATTTGATCTTAAAGTAACCCGTTTAAAAAAGAATGATACATTTTTATATTTACAAATAATTTAAATTTAAATTTTTACTTGATTTATTTTAATAAAAGAAATTTACAGTCACTTGATTTCTTTTCTACTACTCAAAAATTATATAGCTCCATAAAACTTTTACCTTTTATTTTTTAAAACCACAAGTTTAGAAAGAATTTATTTTTTCCTTAAAGTTATTAAACCAAAAAGAATCAATTAATGTAAGGCCATATTTACCAAAAACGGGACGGAGGTAAATATAAGACTACAAATATGGAAGGAAACGTATATTCATCTTAGCAAAATAGGCATTTGCCAAAATTGTAGGAACAGCTTTTTTCTTTCTTTTTCCGGCCACCTTCAAGAGGTGATGGGGGTTTTCCGTTGCCTTGGTGTGGACTGAATTATTGGGGTTGTAGCCGATTCACGACCAATGAATTGCGGCAGCGGCACTAATCCAATGGGTTCGCTCATTTGTCCCAAACCTCGTCGGCTTGGGGATCCCATTAGCCATTCTAGCTGCATTCCACTAAGGTAATTACTCCCTCTTCGCGCACTAATAATAAATGAAGTGCATAATTTATCATAATACCCATATAAATTGATACATGTTTTATTGGATTTGAGAAAATGATTTGAAATGAGTAATAACTACTCTGGTTAAAACAGGAAAAAATTTTGTCTTCTCTTTATATGCATAAATTTCCAAGTAAAAGTGTATACACGCCAAGTAAAAGTGAACGGAGGGAGTATTTCTAATCCTTGTTAATCCCAATTTTTCAAGATTTTAATGACCCATTAATGTTGATGATCTTCTCTTTAATGGGTCTTTTTTTTTCTTCCGGTTTTGGTGGTTGAAAAGAAAAATAGCTGAGCCATTTGTTTCAAAAGGTGGAGCAGAACTTATTGATCTTATTCTCAAAGAGGTACGTTTCTATTCACATTAGATTTTTTTTTTTTTTTTTTGGTAACCGAGAAATAGTGAGGGCTTCAAAACTCAGTGGATAATGGACTCGCTCCTTTACTCTTTTTTTTGTTTACTTTGTATTTCTTCTTTATGGACAGTGGCGGATCCAACATTTTAAGGTATGCTCACTATTAATTAATTAGTGCTGGGAGGAGTCGGATTGATATGGACGGATTGAATACATTTTAGACAACACGTATAAAATTTTCGAACCACTCATATTTAATACAGATAAAACATAGATTGAGTGACGAAAAATATTAATATCCATATTTTCTTGAATATTATTGTGATGATTCCATACCACAGATAGGCTATTAAATTTGGTGGTGGTAAATTGAATATATTTTCTTTTTGTGCCATGATGAACTAAATGAATTGAAGAAAGAGAAATCGGCAAAGTTAAGAACAAAAGGGAAAGCCATATAAAAGGGAAACGAAAAAAAAGTCAAAGAGTGCACTACAAACTCCGGATCATGCCCAGGGCGCATACTTAGAGTCCATTAACCAGTAGCACCCACCAGTCTGTTTGAGCAATGGGTGCTCGCCTAAATATATATTTATTTCATGCGAAATTGTCTATAAAATTATATGTTCATTACGATGGGCAATGGGTGCTTGAGCACCACAATTCTCTATGTGGATCCGCCCATGTTTATGGATGAATGTTGTCAAAACAAAGTGCTCAAAAAGGAAAGATTTTTGAATAAGGGGGTCGTGGTAGATTGATGGTCAATGTAGAAATAGTCTCGACTGAATCGTTCAATATTGAATCCGCCATGACGTGCACGCCTTTAGATTCAACATGATATAGGGCGCTAAGTTGATTGATTAGAACTATATTGTTTTTACTAGGGGCGGAGCTAGTAGCTCGGTTACGGGTCAGGACAAATCCAGTAGCTTTTGTTCAGACAGCTTATTTGTGTTAAAAAATTCATTAAATATGTACAAATATCAAATTTACAACCCAGTTATTAATAATTAAAGTCATCTTTCTAAAATTCAAGACCCATAAGATTGAAATTCTGACTACGCCTTTGGTTTTTACAAGAATTGACATTACTACTCGGGGATGAAACTTATCATTTATAGCTTTTCTGCAGGCAATTATGTCAACATTTTGTTTTTTGTCAAAGCTTCAGAATCTAAAGCAATGTATACATGACCGGTCTTTACATGATAAATGTTGCACACTGTGTGAATTGGTTGGCGTCGCATGAATCTTTATAATCGCAAATATCTTGGACTTTTGCTATTGTGAAAAGCATCCTCATCGGAGAGTGTAGAATTAAAAACTACATAAGGCAAGAAGTATCTTTGATGCTTAAGTGATTTTAAGGTGTAAAGGTAATCAGTGGACAGAAAATATTCAATCCATAGGAGTAGGTAGTATGGGTTTTCATGAGACAAATTGAAAGTTGAGGGTAGTTGAGAGTCCAATCAAATGATAATTGGCATAACTGCAATGTCCCTGTCTTTGTGTCTCTCCATTCCTTGATACATGTCAATATTCTATCAGCCAGCTAAGCCTGGCCTCATTGGTCCATACTTTTTTTTTCTTACTTTATAATCCTTTTAACTTTCTTATTATGGAGCTCTTTTGAGAATCCTAAATTTGCCTTAACGAAATATTTCTAAAAGGAGCCTTATGGAAACACAATTATGGTTTTGTAGATATTCTTAAAGAAGCATAATTCTAAAAGGAGCCTTAGGGCGTACAGTGATTAATCCCATGCCACATATTCTTGAGTAGGCCGGACGAATAGAAAAATAGAAAGGTCAATAGATGTTCAGTTCAAGTCATTTTTTTAGCTTGCATCAATTGCAGAAGGTAGAAGAATTGTATTTGCTGGTTATTTGTTCTTTTCTGTGTCGTCTAATGTTATTCTGGAAATGCAAGTTTGCGAGATGCACTTAACTAATATGACCTATGTAGTGATATGATGCTATCTTTAGCAGATTGGTTTACTTCATTTGGACTGTATTCTTTTTACTGTTCTAGTGATCATATTCGACTGTCAATTTACCTGTGTGACTTATGTACATGTATAGCTGTTCCGTATGTTAATGCATTTCAAAATGCAGCAGCGCGACTAGCCTATTAGGTGCGGGTTTGGCCGAATTCAGTTACTTTTGCCTAAACACTGTATTTGTATTAGGAAATTCATTAAATATGTATAAATATTCAATTGCGAACCTAGTAACTAAGACGAGCTATAGGTTCCGTTGCAAGTTCGAAATCTATAAACTTCAAATATTGGATGTGCCTCTATCTAATTGTGCTGACTATGTAAGAACAAGATTATAAAACATTCCACTGATTCAACCTGCCATTTCTTAGAATGATCTTCATGATGGTGTAGCTGCAACACAACACACATCTGATTTGTCGTCATCCCCTCCTTTCTTCTCTGGTTCACCGCCTTGCAGGGCTATGAATCCATTAATCCATGATGCTCGCTTTACAAATGAAAAACAACCCTGTTTTTCATCATTACCAAGTACATCTACTTCAGCTTCATCTTCTCCATCATCAATTTGTAAAGGAAGGTGTTCAATGGCAAGACTTGGGCAAACTCAATCATCAAATAGAGTAGAGGGTTTTGACTGCCAAAACTCCCGCATGGCTGCTATGGCTTAAAAATCTTCCTTACTGAGAAGTATATAAAGTCGGCAGCTCAACAATGTATATAGAATATCTAGAAAAGAAGAGAAGATTTTGGAGATATTAGCGATTTGTTAGAGGGGAAAAGTTCTGGTTTTTCGTTAATATTATTGTGCAACGATGTGGCTGTTGCACATTTATTTGAAATAAGGTGGTTGAGAGTTAGTTTTGTTTTGTGCTGTCACTCTCGACTGATTTTGGTGCCACAAATTTTTGACAATTTCAAAACCTGCAATATTGTATATATGTGAAATTTGGAATAGGGAGTGGTGATTGAGTTTCTTTTTCTTTTTCCGAGAGTATCCTTTATCTTGTGGTTTCTATGTGAACCTATTTCCTTTTTGGTCCATTCCAAAAAGAATGACCCATTTCTAAATTTGGAAACAATTTAGTTTAAACTTCCAATTTTGCCCTTAATGAGAAGTTTTTCTAACCACACAAATACTCTGGACCCTTTTTTTACTTGTATAGGACTGCAAATTCTAAAAGTCTTCGTTTTTTCTTAAACTCCGTGTCCAGTCAAACATGTTCACATAAATTGAAACGGAGGGAGTAGTTATGTAAGAATGTTCACACAAGTTGGAGGATTCCACTTATCTAACATCACTTTTTGAAGTAAGGTACATACTTTAGTCATATAGATAGTTACAATAGTTAGAACACAGCCAAATTTCTTGGAAGAGTTGATGTCATGAAGTTGGAAGTATTCTATAGATATAATGATGTGAGAACCTTTAACCAAACTTGTATTGTGACTTAAGTATTTGCAAGTGAAATGATGATCATACACCCAAAAAATGAAATCTTATCCTTTATGTCTCCAGTTTCTACAAGGCAGCCCATACAAATGAAGCACAATAACTTTTTGGGAAGTGAAGGAATGATTGAATAACTTTGATATTGTAGAAGTGGTTGGGATGAGGGTGAATGTGTGGACCATTTGCATTTAGGATTGCAGATATTATCTAAAATAAAACTCATATACGCCACAAGAATGTGAAACAACAAAATTTACAAACAAAGCACCAAATCATAATTATTAGGTCTCATAACTTGGTAGGAATCCAAAAACATACACCGAATAGAAAGCAGGAAACATAAACAGTTTTTAGTGGGAAGAATAAAAAAAAAGAAAGCTAAGTAACATTTCAAACAAACTGGCCCTAAAGTCAGACAATAGGGTAAGTTGTCCTAATATGAAACTTAGTAGCCTTCTGGCTTGTAGGCAATGAAACTGATGCACTGCACTTGACGCACGTTGTCGAATCCAATAATACGGATCCAGGCTTGTGGGTATGCCTTCTTCGCCTCTTCCACCTCAGCCACACTTGGGCGGCATCAGTGC